GAGCACCAGGAAAAAAGGGAAGGCACCGTCTAAACCGACACAGGCTGGACAAAATCAGCAGCAATCCAAAGGGAAACAAGCTGCGAAAGAGCAGGGTCCAAGTAAGGTAACCCAAGACCAAGCTAAGGACAAACCTCCTACTCAAAACAAGAGTAGAAAGGATACAGCGAAGGGATCTGGCACGGCTAGTAAAGTTGGACGCCCACCAAGAACGGCAGCAGTGGTCCTTACTAGCCTGAAAGGCGAATACGAGACCTTAATGAAAGAGGCCAGAAATAAGATCTCGCTAAAAGACATTGGGATCGAGGGTCCGCTGAAACCCAAAAGAACCAAAACCGGGGCTCTACTTATAGAGTTACCTGGTAAAGAAGGAGCGGTTAGAGCAGATAAACTTGCAGACAGCATGAACATGCTGTTTGCAGGTAGAGAGGGAGTAACGGTGGTAAGACCTGTGAAATCAGGTGAAATTAGAATCCTGGACATCGAGGATTCGATTACTCAGGAGGAGATCTCTGCCGCAATTGCTGATGTGGGCAAATGCCCAATTGCCCAGATACAGGTGGGAACACCGAGAGAGGGAACTAACGGGCTGAAAACAGCCTGGGCCAAGTGCCCGCTCGCCGCAGTCAGGGCTATCCTGCAAAATGGTAACAGGCTCAGGATCAGCTGGTTCACGGTTAGGGTGCAAGTGCTTACGGAACGTCCCCTCCAATGCTTTAAATGCTTGGAGGGGGGGCACGTGAGGGCAACCTGCACCAGTGAAGTAGACAGGAGCAACCGGTGCTACAGGTGTAGCGAGGAGGGGCATGTGGCCAAGAATTGCAGACGGGGGGTGAAATGCCCGGTCTGTGTGGATTTGGGGAAGCCCTCCAATCATAGAACCGGGAGCAAAGCCTGTTCCTCTGCGAAGAGGAAATATAAACCAGGATGGGGGGGTACCAACTCGAATCAGTCGACAACACGGTCTACCCAGCCTATTCAGGGGGATGCGGAGGACATAGAGATGAGGGAAACCTCTGCCGGGGTGAGAACTAGACAGGCGACCAAGCGTCCTTTGAAGGATACTGGTGAGTCCACAGTGTCTCCCCAAGAAATGGGAGACAGAAAAAAGGCGAAAGGAAAAAGAGCCGGTAGGAAGGCTGACGAGCAATCAGAGAAGGAAGCGGAACAAACTGCCGAACAAACCCCTGAACAGACCCTAAATGAACAAGAGGTAGAGGAGGAAATGGAGACGGAGGGCCTTAACGAAGAATTGTAATGGCCCACACACCCACACCTAAGGTTCTCCAGGCTAACCTGAATCGCTGCCGCGTTGCCCAGGATCTCTTCCTACAGTCCATGGCAGAGCGTGGTAGCGGTTTGGGTATCGTGGCGGAACCGTATCGAGTGCCGGACAATCACCCGTGTTGGGCGTCAAGTCGGTGTGGCCTCGCTGCGGTGACGTGGAGACAGACTGCCAGTCCCGAGCCCTGCACTAAGTTGGTGGCGGGCGAGGGCTATGTCGCGGTCAAATGGGGACAGGTAGTGGCGGTTAGTGTTTACGTTTCCCCAAACAGAAGCAGGGCTGAGTTCCGGGACATCCTCAATCAGATAGGGATGTGCCTGACGAGATTTGACCCTGCCCCGATTGTAGTGGCCGGGGACCTCAATGCCAAATCGGTGTTGTGGGGATCCCCGGTCACGAACGCTAGGGGGAGGGAAGTAGAGGAATGGATGGCGGAGAGAAATCTATTTTCCCTCAACCAAGGGGATAGATGGACGTGTGTGAGGCCCAACGGGGGATCCATCGTGGATATTACGATGGTGAACCCGGAGGGATTACGCCGCGCCGAGGGATGGAGTGTGGTCGAGGACGTGGAGACGAGATCGGACCACGAGTATGTGGAATTCTCCCTCCTGGCCACCAATCGGGAGATTGTGGAGCGTCGAAGAGCCGCGCGTGAGAAATTTCCGCGATGGCAGTGGCGTAAAGCGGATAGAGATCTGTTTCGCGCTGCGACACTGACCGCACTGTGGGAAGAGGATGTCCTGCTGAACGCAACGACTAGCGTGGAAGACCAAGCGGGAAGGATCGGGGATATTATGAGCCAAGCGTGCGACGCTGCTATGCCCCGATCCAACCCGATCCCACGCAAGGGAGTGTATTGGTGGACGGAGGAGATTGCCGAACTACGGCGCTCCTCCGTCCACGCCAGAAGGATTTATCTTAGGGCAAGAGCCCAACAAGACCCCCTGGCAGAGGAGGATGCCGGAGAGGACTACCGCTCCGCCAAGCGGGCCCTCTCTAAGGCGATAAAGGTGGCCAAGGACCGCGCCTGGGAGGAGCTCCTCCAAACACTGGAGGAAGACCCGTGGGGACGCCCATATAGGTTGGTTTTGAACAAGCTAAAACCTTGGGCGCCCCCCACGACGGAGTCTTTAGACCCTGGGTTTCTCGAGGATGTGGTGGAAACTCTATTTCCCGATGACGAAGGGGAGAGAGTTAATGGAGCGCCTGCTCCGCCTCCCGCGGAGTGGGACGAGGAATTCGGGGTGACGATGGAGGAGCTCCAGGCTGCTGCCAAGAAACTGAAGGCAGGTAAGGTGCCTGGACCTGATGGCATCCCAGGTAAGGCGTGGACCTGGGTCACCGGGGAGTTAGCCGAACATCTTAGGGCCCTTTTCACGAGGTGTATGAGGGAGGGCCGATTCCCTAGTCAGTGGAAGAGGGCCAAACTGGTCCTCATCCCCAAAGAGGGGAAACCAGCAGATCAGCCATCGGGTTACCGTCCGATATGCCTGCTTGACGAGACGGGGAAGCTGTTCGAGCGAGTGATCGCTACCCGCCTTGCTCGGCACCTGTCCCGGGAGGGTCTGGACCTCAGTGAGGCCCAGTATGGCTTCCGGGAGGGTAGATCGACCATGAATGCGATCGCAAAGGTCCGAGCCCTCTTGGAGGCCGCGGCGGAAGAGGGCGGGGTAGTTCTGGGTGTCTCGTTCGATATCCAGAACGCATTTAACTCCCTGCCCTGGCCGGTAATTAGGGAGGCGTTGATACACCACGATGTGCCTCCCTATTTGATAGCGGTCCTTTACGACTACTTCCGGGACAGGAACCTTCTGTACGTAGACCAGGACGGTAACCTGATGGTCAGGCTGGTCGTGAGGGGCGTACCCCAGGGATCGGTACTCGGTCCACCATTGTGGAATCTAAGGTACGACTCCACACTTAGAACCCCTCTCCCCCCCGGGTGCTGGTTGAACGCTTTCGCGGACGACACCTTTCTGGGGGTGGAGGGGGAAACATGGGAGGAGGCCCGGCGAAGGGCTAACGTTGCAGTGGCGTGCGTAGTGGCCGCAATAAGGAGATTGGGACTCCAGGTGGCCCCCCAAAAGACCCAGGCCGTCTTTTTTCACAACGGTTCTATAGGTAAGCCGCCTGGAGTTCACATTAAAGTGGAGGATGTCCGCGTCCCAGTAGGGGCCTGTATGAAATTACTGGGCCTCTGGCTCGACGGCACGTGGGGCTTTGGCGAGCACTTCGCTCGCATAGCCCCCAGAATGATGGCCACAGCCAATAGCCTGGCTCGGCTGATGCCGAACCTGGGGGGGGCGAGTGGATACGCTCGCCGGCTGTATGTTGCGGTGGTGCAGTCCGTGGCGCTCTACGGTGCCCCTATCTGGGCAACCAGGGCGGCTAGCTCTGCCCGCATTAAGACCCAGTTGAACCGGGTCCAGCGGGTGATCGCTATAAGAGCGTCGCGGGCATATCGCACCGTGTCGCATGCTGCGGCTACGGTGCTGGCTGGAGTTCCACCCCTCGAGCTGGTGGCGGCTTGTCACGCCGAGGTGCACAGGCGGACAAGACTGCTGCAAATTCCGAGGGGCAGGCAGTGGGACAGGGCCAATGGAATCATCAAGCTCCAGGCCAAGGAGGACCTGATTGAGAGATGGCGACAACAACTGTCCAATCCTGCCGTGGTCAAATACGGCAGAAGGACCGTCGACGCTGTCTTGCCCCACCTGGACGAGTGGCTGAGTGGACGGGGACGTGGACTTACGTTCAGGGCGACGCAGGTGCTCACCGGGCACGGGTGCTTCGGTGAGTACCTGTGTCGCATAGGAAAGGAGGTGGATGCCAGATGCCACCATTGTAACGAGATGAGGGACACGGCGCAGCATACCCTGGAGGTATGCCCCGCTTGGGACGAGCAGCGCCGTGTCCTACAGGGGGAGATAGGAGCAGACCTCTCCCTCCCGGCCGTCGTGGCGGAGGCGGTCGGGGACATAGAGAAGTGGCGGGCATTCCTTGCCTATTGCGGCAAGGTGATGACAGCTAAGGAGGATGCGGAGCGAATTCGTCGCGAACAGTATGACCATGCTGCGGCGAACGCGCAACTAAGATAGAACATAGGTCAAATTGGCCTATGACGCCCACCCAATTAGGGCGTCTTACACGGTCCATGGACCGCAAGAGTGGGCTAAGTGTACCCTGCAAGACCCTCCTCCGACGAGGGGGGCCCGCAGTTTTAGGGCGCTGGCTGTTGGTAGTTGCGTCCCTTTTGTACACAGGGAAGGGTGGCGGAACGGGGTGGTGTCCGTTCCGTCACGTTAGATGAATAGGGCTATGAAGCCCAGAGCTGGGAGCAAATCAGCTCAGCGCAGGGGGTGTCCAGATGCATACACTAGTTCCTGGACACCCCTAATAATGCGCAGGTAGGGACACCCGTGAGGTTTTAGTGGGTAGGTCACGCACACAGTGCGTGGAATCCCACACTCCCCTCGTCTTCTTCGGAGGGCGAGGGGGTCTTCCCCCTCCAACATCAGAGGGGGCTGCTGGGCCACATACCGGGCTTGCTCGGGAACTCAGCAGTCGAAGATTTCCTCACGTAAAAAAAAAAAAAAAAAAAAAAGGTTAGGTTCCCTCCCCTCTCGAAGGTGCGCCACGGGCGTACTGCACCGTCAGCCATGCGGCGGCGACGGCCCTGGCGGGGCTCCCTCCGTTGGAGCTCGCGGCTGAGATGTATGCCGAAGTCCATCGGCGTACCAGGCAGCTGCGGGTCCCGAGGGGGCGAGTGTGGAACAGGGCCTGTCGGATCATCAAGCTTCAGGCCAAGACGGTCCTCATCGATAATTGGCGTGCTTATCTTGCCAACCCGGCTTTGCCGGAGAAGAGGACCGTAGATGCTGTCCGGCCCTGTCTAGCGGAATGGCTGGACAGTCGTCGACACGGGTTGACCTATAGGGCGACGCAGGTGCTTACCGGGCACGGTTGCTTCGGTGAGTACCTGTGTCGCATTGGGAAAGAGGCAGCCACCAACTGCCACCACTGCGAAGCGGAGAGGGACACGGCGCAGCACACATTGGAGGAGTGCCCTGCCTGGGCCGAGCAGCGCCGTGTCCTACGGGAGGTGGTCGGAGATGACCTCTCCCTCCCGGCCATAGTGGCGGCTATGGTCGGGGATCAATCGAAGTGGCGGGCATTCCTGACCTTCTGCGGTCAGGTTATGTCCGCCAAAGAGGAGGCCGAGCGGATCCGTCGCGGAGTGGTAACCCAGGATGCGGCGGATCCGCCAAATTGATAGTGGGGCAGCCAACTTGCTTGTCCAACCCATCTCGCATGGGTAAACACACGGCTGATAAGGCCATGCGGCGTAAATCGCCATCGACCCTCTCTCCCGACGGAGATCGAGGCTCTTTGGCGGGAGGTCGGCGTTACCGGCTGGCACCGGGCGCCGATCAAACCTCCCATAAGTCACCGGGAGGTGTGGCGGAACGGGGTGGTGTCCCATTCCGCTACGACAGATACCACGCTCTTTGAGCGTTGAGCCCAAAGCTCAGGGCAGAGGGCCTAGATAGCCCAGCGCTGGGGTCATCCGGATGCTGTATTCATCGTTCCCGGATGGCCCCTCAAGGCGCTTGTAAGGACACCCGTGAGGTTTTAGTTGGTAAAAATCCAACACTCCCCTCGCCCTTTGCCAGAAGGACGGGGGGGTCTTCCCCCTCAAACATCAGAGGGGGCTGCTGGGCCATATACCGGGCTTGCCCGGGAACCCAGCAGTGGAAGATTTCCTCACGTTAAAAAAAAAAAAAAAGGTTAGGTTCCCTCTCGAAGGTGCGCCACCTTGTCGTGGTGAGAGGGCTCACATGCCGCAGCTCTGAGGGCTGCGACATGTGCTAAGAGCGCACTGGGAGGGTGACCTGTCGGGCCGCTGGGACATATTCCCAGGCCGGGGCCGGCGGGTCTGGTCACCGGACGCAAGGGCCGGTGACGCGTAGAGGGTCCGTTGGGTCGGCGGTGGCGTGGGTGCTCCGTGTCCCCCTGCTCGTGCGTGGCGGGGACCGGGATCGAGCGTGCTCGGCCGGGGCCGGGATCGAGGTCTCTCGGCCGGCCACCCCTCGTTGCGTGCGGGCGGGGGTGGCGGGGCTCTTTCGTTGTCGTCGACCGGCGGACGGTGCCTCAGGGGTCGGGGGCGGTCTCTGGGGGTCCTTCGGGGCCCTTGGGGGGCGCTCTCGATACGGGTGCGGCGAACCCGGGGATACCCGAGGGCTCGGGCAGGCTGGGCTCGTGAGGCGGGTGAAGCCAACCAGCCTAGGGGAAGGACACCCCGAAATAAAACCATTTTTTGTAAACATGATGAGTACAAAAAAGAAGAAGACTTTACCGTCCCAGAGTGACCGGACGCTCAGGGACCGGCGGGAGGTGGTTAACCCGGCCACACTCTCGTCGTCATCCAACGACGGGGAGAACTCTTTAACTACGGCTGAGTTTCGGGCGAGCTCAGCCGCGGACATGGCTATCGCTCAGGATGGAATGAAGAAGAGAAAGTTGGAGAGCGGGGAGGGAGAGAAACAGGGAGTGTTGGAGGTAGGAGCTGCTGGTCTCCCAGTCGTAAGGCTGGAGAAGATCAGTTGGCCGGTGGCAAGCCAAGAGGAGGGGCAGAAATATCGAGAGGAATGGCGAGAGCACGGGTGTAGGACTAGGTGGAAAGATTTAGAGAAGTGCTCTCGAGAGGAACTCATAGAGTTCCCTGGCTTGCTGGAGGAGAGAATCTGGGAGATGCCGGCGGGGGACGTGGAGGATAGAGTTAAGCATATTCTCTACGAGTACCTCGCCCCTCCGGAGGTGGAGTCGGATGAGGATGGGGAAATGGAATTAAAGGTGAACGCGGAAAAGGAGGGATACGCCGACTGCGTAGATGAGGCGGTGAGCGCCCTCGTAACCCGCATGAGGGAGGTCGCTAGGAAGTGGGCGGAGGCTAGGAAGGAGGTGGAAAGGGAGCGAGAGGCTTCGCTCGAGTTGACGGCTCGGTTGGAGCGCTTGATGGAGGAAAGGGCGCCAGTGTCGACTCCAATGGAGGTCGATATGGGGCCAAGGGTGGAGGGGAGGGAGGTGTCAAC